AAAAGCAGCCAGCACATTGTACACTCAGTATTATGGGCATTGTGTTACCTAGTCTTTACTAGGCTGTGTTCAGTGACTTCATCATACATAGACAGTTTCTCGGATGTTTCTCGGTTGAAGGATCCTAGATGAATCCATTGAAACGTATTCTACTAGTTTAACATTGTTCTTGCTAAAGACATTGAATGTCATTCTGCTTTTCTGTAAGAGTCCCAGCCTAACTCAGGATAGTGGGTGTAGAGTAGCAACTTTGGAGTTGTGACTTAAAGCAGAACCCCTGCAATAACTGTGTTCTTTCTTCTCATTCATCGAAGGTGGTGGTCAATGCTTTGGTAGGCGCCATCCCTTCTATCATGAACGTCCTGCTTGTCTGCCTTATCTTCTGGCTCATCTTCAGCATCATGGGAGTCAACTTGTTTTCTGGGAAGTTTGGGAAGTGCATTAACAACACGATAGGTGATGACCCTATGAACCAATCATTGGTCAACAACAAGAGCGATTGCCAAAACTTGAATGAGACTGGAGAGTTGTACTGGACAAAAGTGAGGGTCAACTTTGATAATGTTGGCGCAGGCTACCTGGCTCTGCTGCAAGTGGTAAGTTCACTACTACTTATTCATGTTGTTATTAGGCAGTCGCACTGACTGAAGGAATCTTAAGTCAATGTATTTATTTAATAATAAATTCATTTATACACCCCTCTTAATTTAAACATACACACCCCGCACAGAGTGGTTCACAAATGGTCAAATGTATAACACAGCAAAGCAAAACCGTAAGACCATCTTCAGCCTTAACAGAGTAGCAAGTCAATAATCATGTAGACTGTTCGATGAACCAGGCACTCCCAAGCCTAATTGGCAATAACCACAGGCAAGTCCAGGGCATTAGAGAAGAGGTACATTTTTAGGACTCAATGAAGCTGGAGTAGACATTATGACTGGAACATTATGATCTGTAGATGATTGAGTGATTGAATCAATTTGCATAAATTTGCCTTTTGGGGAGGGCAACCCAATAGTTCTGAAGCAGGGATGGAGAACTTGTAGCCCTCCAAGGGTTGTTGAAGTCCCATGAGCTTCAGCCAACATGGCCAGGTCAGGGATGGAAGCAGCTGTTAGCCAGCAACATCTGGAGGACAACAGGGTCCCCACCCCATCCTTACTGGAATGCCTTTTCTAAGAACATGTATGGCACTTGAAGCTTAGATAGATAGTTCTGTTGGTCAGTTAATTGGAGGAATCCATTTAGCCAGTCGAAACAGTTTGAACTAATTAATCTAACCAATGAACTGTCTAAATCTTCCATGTTGTTATGCCAGTATGCCTGTTATTGGGGTAGGGTTGCACATCAATTAATTTAAGGACTTTATAAGTCCTTCCTCAACACAATAAGATAACAGTTAATAAACTTCAAACAGGAAGCAACAGCATTGATCCGATAAAGGAGTCTGAATCATAAAACAGTGTGGAAAATAGGATGTCCAGGGTAGAGTTCAGACAAATCTGAGCCAAGAAACAGTAGGTTAGAACAGCTTGAGTGAAAATCTTTTGAAGGGTCTTTCTCATATCTCCACTGCAGCCCCCCCCCCCAGATGATTCCCAAGATCTGAGGGACCCTCTGGAATAGCATGAGTTGTACATAGGAAGCTCCTTCATACAGAGTCAGGCTGTTGGCTTACACTGAGTGGAAGTGGCTCTCCAGAATTTCAGGCTAAGGGTCTCTATCCCAGCCATACCTGGAGATGCTAGGGTTGAACCTGGGACCTTCTGCAGGCAAAGCATGAGCTACATCCCTTCCCCAAAGGAAGACTGCAGAGGGAGGTGGAAATCAGCAGAGAGAAGGGGGAAGGGGCTCGTGTGAGTGGTTGCTCTTCATACATGACATCCCACAATGAAATAGCTTTCCAGTGGATGCAAGAGGTTGCAGTGGTCAGGGAAAGTCACGTAACTGAATTTCCACTTGCACTACTACGGATCCAGGACATTTCTCCCCTCGAGCAAGTTCTCTAAATCAATAACCAGCCAGATGCCCCTGGGAAAGATGGAGATAGCCAATCCCTGTTATGTGTCCCCATCAGCAGGAACTGAAAGCTATACCGCTGCTGATCATGGAGGTTTGGTTTCCCTAATTTGGCAAATGGCTGTGGATAGACTTCTCCACTGTGCCTTTATCTAACCCCTTTAAGGATGAGGAAAAGGCCTTCTCAGCTAGTGACCTTCAGCACACAGGAATCTGCCTTGTATCATATCTGTCCATTGTTCCACCTGGCTCAGATGTTCTGGAGTATGACTCCCATCAGATAGGTTGGAGAGCACATGAGACAGAGCCTTCTTGGTGGTGGTCCTGCTTGGTGGTGGCTGGGGAAACCCAGCTAGATGGGCAGGGTATAAATAATAAAGTTGTTGTTGTTGAACTAACTCTTCCATTTAATATTCACTCAGCCTCTTCAGGCATTCAAGAGAGTCTTAAAATATTTTTTCTATTGCATAAGACAGTTTAGCATATCAGAATCAGGCACCTATTTCTCCGTATTTGCAAAATGCTTCATATTCTGCTTATTTAAGCTTCTGTTGTTTTTATCCCTCTTTGTGTGCCGCTGTGCCATGATGGCTCGGCCCTGGAAAGCAACTGAGATGGTTAGTCAGGGTCAGGAGAAAAGTGGTGCAAGTCATTTCTTAATTTGGTGGAGGGAAGCTGGTTTAAGGCAAATATGTCACTACCTGTTCCGCTACCAGTTCAAAGGCCTCCCCAAGTTTTTTACATGCTTTGCTCTTATATGACCTTTGCACTCTTCAGTGAACACCGAGCAAAGAATGTTGATGAGCCTATGCTGGAAGCTGTTGTGCCCTTCCAGACATCTCTGAGCATTCAGATCACATCCTGACTTACTTCCTACTTTGTTAGCCAATGTTAAGCCAGTGTCCCCCAGTTTGGGCATAATGGGGCACTCTGGCTTAATGCAGACCAGAAGCTGGTGGAGAAGATGGTGTGTAATGGGAGAAATGGAAGAGAGGGTGAAGGAAGATGACTCAAGGAGCAGGACTCAGCCTCTGCACTTATTCCTGGTTTATGAATCCAGAAATGACGAGTCAGTCCAGGCCTTGAATGTGTGTTGTAGGGGAGTTCCTACTTTCAGACGAGAGAATTAGATTGGAGGCCTCCGCCTTCACTGCTCACACCTGGTGAACCAGATGCGCTTATTAGCTTGCATGTTGAAGACTGCAGAGCAAATATATCCCTGCTTTTTCCTGTTTCTACCCTGAAAGCAAAGCTTGCAAATGTGTGGCTTTTTATACCGATAGAAACAGTCTCTTTTGAAAAAAAGAGGGAGCGTTGTGTGCTGTGTTGCAGTTTCTAACTTTCCGCTAAATTTACTAGGGCATTTCATAGATCGATGTCATGACGCACCAAATATTTCTAGACTCTGCACAATTTGAGAGCCAACCTTTTTGTTTGTTTTTCCCTACTTGCAATTAGTAATATTCAGACAGGGGACTTAAAATAGCAAAGAGCATTCTAAAACAAAAGAGGAAGCAAAATTTGACACAGGAATTTGGGAGGGCCTTCGATGGATCACCGTTTTGTGTCCCCATTAGTACTAGATGGAATTGTGGGGGGCCACAGGCCTTCTTGATGGGGAGCAGTCTGCCCCCCTAGTATTCAGTCTAATGCACGCTATCACTGCAGTCCTGCACACACTTATCACAGAGTCATAGAATTGTAGGGTTGGAAGGGGACCATAAGGGTCATCTAGTCCAAAGTAGGAATTGCAGCTAAATAATCACTGCCAGGTGGCCATCCAAGCTCTGTTTACAAAGCTCAACTGAAGCAGAGTCCTCCACCACCTATGCCAGTCCATACCACTGTGGAACAGCTCCTACTGTCATAAGGTTTTTCCTAATGTTTAGTTGTAAGCTCTACTTATTAGGAGGTGAGTCTCACTAAACTCAGCAGGACTTACTTCCAAGTAAACATGCTCAAGATACAATGCTTTGTGTCATTTGAACATGCTCCAGCCTCCCCAAGGCTGCTTACACACAGTAGTTTATTAAGCAGGTTGGGAGTTGTTGCTCTATAAAAAGCAAACTACAGTTCCCAGGACTCTCTGGGGGAAGTCATGTGCTTCAAATGTCCTTTAAATACATGGTGTGTTTGTAGGCTAAGTGAGGAATGGCTGTTCTTTGTATCTGTGATACAGCACTGCAGACTGAGTATAACCTTGCACCTGTTATTCAGGCCTGATCCTGCTTCTCCCTTGATGGTCACCATGCCACTAAGTTCTTCTCTATGATTCCCCCCCCCTTTTTTGTAGCCCCCTGCGCAGCGACACATCCCTTGCTCACCTGCCCACTTTGCAGGATGCAGAAAGGATGGAGAGATTGGAAAGAGCATTTTGGGTTCAGCCCTCCCAGTTCATTCAACTTCCTTGGGAAACGTTGGCTTTCTTTCTTCTTCATCCTCCAAGGAGACAGGGTTGCTTAGAAAGTGTGTGGGTGATGATGCCTAATGAAATTCCAGAAGTCAGAGAGGGGGCTGAGCAGGATTTCCTGTGGACATATGAAGCTGCCTTATGCTGACGCAGACCATTGGCTGGGACATGTAGCCCAGTACTGTGTGCTCAAACTGGCAGCTGCTGAGGCATATAGGTCTTGCTTAGCCTTGCTGCTTGAAGATCCTTTTATTCAAGGGGGGGCCTTCTTAAGACCGGGGATTGCTTTCCCCCAAGAGGAGCCTCTTGGGGGCCCTGTGCTGGTAGCAGGCGAAGGCCAGAGGCAAAAGCAGGCAGGGGAATAGATGTGACTCTTGCCTTTATACAGTAAACTACAGTATAATCTTGCAAAAAATCAGAGGCTTTTGCAAAAGCATTTGAGCGGGGCTGGTGAGGGTGTGGCACAGGGAGTGGAGGTGCTGTCTGGAAAGAGTGCTAAGGGCCAGGTAGAAAAGCCTAGGGGGCCACGTTCAGCCTGTGGGCCCAAGGCTCCCCACCCCTGCTTTAATGAAGGGACCAGAGATTGAGCTGGGATCTCATGCCTGCAAAGCATATACTCTACCTCTGAGCTACAGCCTCTCTGTTAGGCAAGAGACCAGACCAGACGGCAGCGCATAGGAGCAAGAAACTATTCCTCATTGCACTGGGACAGACATAGTTCCATACCGTACTATTTCTCAGCTTTCCCAAACAATGTTATTGGCATTGCAGGTAAAGTTCACAAGAGCTGAGCTTGCTGTATCAAAGTTATAGATAGCTGAGATCTAAGGTTTTGCAACCAGCTTTGGTAAGTGGTGGTGATAACATAGTAGACAAGGGGGTTGTTTGTTTCCTACACAGGCAGATACAGCAACCAGCCCTATGGGGTGATTTAGGCTTGCCCACTCCCATAGCTGGCCCAAAGTTATGCCAAAGCATAACTTGACCCCTTTCAGGCACAAACTTGAGATCACTGCCTTCCTCTTGCTTATCTTGTTTTGTTTTAGATTGATTCAGAGTTAGCCACAGTCTGATGGCACATGCCTTCTGTGCAATAGCCTAATCATCAGCTGTAAGCGAGACCCCAAGATGAATTTATCAGCAGTTAAGTCTCATCCCAACACACACACACCAGCCCATAACTAATTTCAATAGCAGACAGTATTTTAGCTGGACCTATGCCATGCAGGACAATATCACACAACACTCCCATAAAGATCTTACCACCTTCAGATCTGGTCTGTAAGTGGTTACTAATTCCCCCGTAATTTTATTTCCCTCCCAGTTACGTTTCCCACCCCTGCCTTTCACGATATCACCACTTCTTTGCAGAAGTGTCTTGCGAAGGATTCCAGAAGCCTAACTGAGCTCTGGATTATCTTACTACTAGGCTCCTCAGGAGTTGGGGGGGGGGATAGAAGGGGAGGGGAGCTGGATGGGACAAAACAGCTTTATAATTGACAGCTCTGCCATCCAACAATGCCTTATTACCATCCAGATCAGCTCATGAACTGCAATTGTGAAGTTCAGAAATTGCCGGGTACTTTCTTTTTCCAATGCTAAACGCCCCATTTATAGTCCAGCTGGAATCTTGGCCAAATCATGCCCCCGGATGGGAATGCCATGCAGAGATGGAAGATTGCTTTGCCAATGGGAGAGAGCTGTGAGGAAAGATTAGAGCAATTTGGAGAGCCACAGAGCAGGCAGTTCAACCTCTTTCTCCTCCTCCTAACCTCTTTTGGGCGAGAGAGTCGGCTTTTAAGTGGGAAGGGACTAGAACAGGCTCACGTTGCCACCCGCAGGATTACGGAAACATTGGGAAGCAGCTATTAAACCACCTGCAAAAGGGATCAATAGTACAGGATTAAATCATCATTTGTTTCAGTGAAACAAGCTGCTGTATCGCCTCAGGCCTCTCAACCCTCCTTTTTCATATTATGAATGTCGGTTCCAAAAAGCACACTCAGGTTTTACTGAGGGAGGCTGGTGCATTAGAGGAAATGAGGCAATGCACCTCCAACTAGCTTTCACGTGCCCTGCCTTCTCACTTGCATCCAGTCCAGGGGGTGTCACTACCTGTCACCCTCCTTCTCCTCCTTAGTTTCAGTGTTTCCCCTTGCGCAACTCAGCAGGGATGGGGGGATGGATGACAAAACTAGGACTGGTTGGCTCTGCCTGTCATTGGCTCTAGCGCCCCCTACTGTTGGCCTCCCAGCTCTCTCACCTACCAATACCAATGGACATCAGCCACGCAGGTAGGAAGTATGTGTGCCATTACAAACCAGGGTGCTACTTAGGGCAAAGCAGACTGCCTCTCCTGTTTCCTCCCTTCTCCCTATCACACACATACCAGTGTTTCAGATCACAGGTGATTACCCCAGAATTCATCCCACTGCCACCCCACCCGGTCCCAGCAAACACCATGCTGCTTCTGACCCACACCATGGCTGTTCAGTGGGGCAGCGAGAAGAGGATGGCAGCCTTCTGTGAACTTTCTTGAGCTAACTTGTCTTAGGATCTAAGCCGCTGCCTGTTAAGTTAAAAGCTTGCTTTCAGTCATTAAACAAGCGTCCCCCATAATAGAAGACAACCTGCTCAATAGCTAACTCTGTTCCTTTACATAAGCCAAAATTCATGGGGTGGTTTGGGTTTTTTTTATTGTATTAACAGTGAAAAATATTTTCCCCCACATAATAGTGCAAATAAGGTACAAAGCTATAAAGTAGCCATTAACGCAAATGCATATTATGATTGTCTTAATTACATGCATTGCTTTTCTTTTTCCTAGGCAACTTTCAAAGGTTGGATGGAAATTATGTATGCTGCGGTGGATTCACGAGAGGTGGGCTGCTCAGATAAAGGACTTTGGTCTACTAACGTCTTGCATTATTTTATTTCTTTGTATGGTGGTTGAACCAGTGTCTCCTGCTTGCCGGTAATGTACACAATCTACTGGGAAGTTCTCCTGCAAAGCCCCCATCAAAATAAATGGGAGCTGCACAGAAAAGCCAAGGTGACTCATTCTGAGCACCCTACATTGTATTAAAAGGGGAGCTTCGTGAGTGACGCTCATTGATGAGGCTTGGGCAGAAGATTTTTCCAGTGAATCATTCTCACTTCTGCTCATGTTTTAGCATCAATTTGGACTTTTCTTCTTATACTAATTTTTTTGGATGATGTGCGTTATTTAGTTTACTACTTAATCATGCTTTAATTGGCAACTAGAAACACCAAAGTCCCTCCCTTGATAATGGATAAAAAGATCTTGCAAAGATGTAGTGAGCCTTGAAATTTGGACTGTTTTAGCCATTAACTCTTTTTTTAATAGAAGAGACATATTAAATGCAATTAGCCCCATCGGAAGAAATAGCCATCAGGCTAACATAATTAAAACTCAGTTCACACAACAAATGTGCATACACGCATCATGTGGAGATAGTAGTGCCCACTGGCTCAGGCCCTCCGCCAACTCCCAACTGAAGGTCGAGACATTCATGATGAGCAAATACTGTCATCTGAAAAAAAGTTTTTTAAGTACCGTAATTCTTTTCAAGTGTCGTAGGCTATGCAGTAGGTGAGGCTTGGTATCCACCTAGCAGCCAAATAATTTCTCTGAGCTGCATAGAATGTGTTGTGCATTTCAAAGGAGGAAACGCACACCTTGGTTTTAGTTTAGGATGCCAGTGGACATTCATCACCCTTTCTTTGTTTTCTCCATGTTGCTTTTTTTTTGCAGCGTGAGGAGCAGCCCGTCTGGGAATATAACTTGTACATGTACCTCTACTTTGTGATCTTTATCATCTTTGGCTCCTTCTTCACTCTGAATCTCTTCATCGGTGTTATCATTGACAATTTCAATCAGCAAAAGAAAAAGATAAGTAACACCTTGTCGACCAGGCAGCCGTGAGTTGTGGAAGGGGGGCAGGGATGTCCATAGCTCAGTGGTGGACCACAGACTTTGCCCAATATCCAATCCCTGCCGTCTCTAGTTGGAAGCATCAGGTGGCAGGTAGAACCTCCGCCTGAAAGACACAAGAGCCCTGCAGCTGGGTCAGGCCAATGATCCATCTAGTCCAGCATCCCCTTCTTACATTGGCCAATCAGATGCCCATTATGAGAAGCCTGAAAGCAGGGCCTGAGTGCGCAATGGTGCAAAACTGCCAGGACAGTGATTGGGTAGGGTTCCTTCCCCCCTTGTGATCTGGTTAATTCTTAGAGGCCAGAGGAGTTGTCCATCCAGCCCATGATGGTCTACTTCAACCAGCCATGGCTCTCCAGAGTTGTCTCCTCCTCCCTGATCCTTCTAGTTAGAGATAACAGAGATTGAACCTGAGGGCACCTTCTGTGTGCAATGCAAGTGTTCTGCCATTGAGCTGTGGGCTTCTCCCTGTCACCTGTTTTCATTCAACTGCTGGTCAGTATGTTGTGATGCACCTATTCCCAAACAAAATACTCAGAAGGGAAAAGACAAAGTCAGTGAGCAGTATCTCCTGAAGTTTGCACAAATGACCAAAGAGGACCACAAAAAAAGGAAAGAAAAGAGGTTATATAATTACTTCCATTGTGCAAAACGGTAACAATAAAAGGATGGAGGACATGCAATCAAGCACTCAGCTAATTGTATGTAGCTATTCCAAAATTGAAATAAACATGGAAATCTTGTGGCCAGTACATAGTCCAAGCCATACTACCCTGAGCTCCTTGGAGAACAGGTGGCATAAAAATGCAATAAATAAATCACTGCTGAAAAGCAATGAATTCTAATCTGGTTCTGAAAAATGCTGGCCCAATAATCCATATCAGTTCCTCCTCTTAGGATGGAGGAATGAATCTGTCAGTTTTGGTTTCTCTCCCTTTCTGTTTTCCAGTCTAACATTCAGTTCACCAAATTTCCCATATGTTTGCAATTTCCATACCGCCCCCGTCAAGTCCTCATGAAAATTCATCAGCATTTTGCCATTCATTTCTCCTAATGTGGGGCGTATGGGGTGTTAGGGGAGGGGTGGTAGATCTGGTGGGGGACACATCCTTCCTTCTGTGGTCCCTACCCTGCACTTATAGAAGAAAAACTCTTATCTTAAACCTCTGCTGCCTTGTGGGATGTATTCAGGAGATGAAAAGGCTAAGGAGTAAACCCAATACAAATCTGGAGTGGAATCCCTAAGATGCTTAGATGGTGTCTTCTATATCTCCTTCTGGCATTTCCTACAGCCAAGCTGGTGTCAAACGTCTTGCTCTGCTTTCCTTTGGACCACACCAACACGGCCGAGAGGGGGGTCTTGTCATCTGGGCAGCCCAGGACCTCCATACACACAGCCTAGGCTTGTGCTTCAGAGCAGCCACTTCAGTGCTGCTGATGCAGCAGTTTGACTTCACCCCAGAGGCGCACACCATTTTCTCTTGCGACAGATGGATGCCAGCAACAATCTCCTAATGTGCATATTTTGTATTCAATTTAGCCTTCCGGCAATATTTCCCTTAATACAATGCGTTTTTGTGTATTATTTTCACCAATAATGTGCATTTTTATGTGCACTTCCTTCTCACACACCCATCTGTGGGGCTGGAGAACTGCATTTCAAAATTTAGAGAAGTTTGCATC